GACAAAATCTCATTCCTTTTGAGACGGCATGAAAAGTCAGCTGAGTACAAAACATAGAGAGGATAGACGACAAAAGGGACAATTCTAGTCTATTATCTACTCAAAGTCTATTCTATTAACATTTCTCTATCTGTAGAATGGGTCTGTTTTATTTGTTGTCTTCCCATTTCAAAGGGCCCCATGCCTGTCTTTGCCTAGGGCCCCAAATTTCCAGAATCGGCCCCTGCCTTTGAGGCTTGCTGGGCTTTAGATAAGTTTCTAGGAATCCTCTGCTGCATGTCTGCCTGTCGAAACAAATTTCCCTTTATGGGACAATAAAGATACTCATCTAGGTGGAGTCCCAAAGCCATTTAGTTTATTTCTTCTGGCAGGGTGCGGCAAATGGAAGTCAACCAAAAAGCTTCGAACCCGCACTTCATAAAGGATTATAGTGAATTTAATTTCTTCTATACAATAGATTATGAAATGTTTATTCAAAGTTGTAAAAGAAGGAAGAAAAAAAAAGGCCCCAAGTAATAAGGATTGTTGAACCCCTTTTTGAATGGTTTACATATCTAAAAATGTAACAATAACACTGTTACTGTTACACAATGTCCTTGTTAAAAGGGAGTTTTTCCTCTCCACTGTCGCTACAAGCATGCTTAGTGTGAGGGATTGCTGAAGAGTCAATGAGTCGATGCAATCAACTGGTTTTCCTTATGTAGAAAGCTTTTAATAAATTTGACTGGATGGAAGTGCCTTGAGATGATGTGTTGTGAATTAGCACTATAGAAATAAACTGAATAGAATTTACAATTGAATAATCGTGGATTTATTTATTCTGATCTTAGAGGGTTTCTGTCCCGTGTGGCGTCCCAAAATAAGGGCTCTCTGCTGCAGGCAGAAAAAGGCAAACTGACTCTTAATCAGGTGGGTGGAGATGTTACCTTTATGCCTTTATGAATCACTAACTGACTAAAATGGAGGCGTTTTTTGTGTGCAGATGATCCCGGCGTTCAAAGCTGAGTGTGCGAAGGAGGCCAAGGCCAGAGGAGTGACGCTGCCGTCTGATTGGTGCGTCAACTGTCTGCTGGAGGAGGCCAGAAAGTCGATGATGGAAGTGAAGGACGTTGTGCTGAAGACGTCTGCAAGTCTGCGTTGCAGTGGTAGAGTGTCACTTTACGAAAGAAGCAGTTTTTATGCAGCTTATTCAAAAAAAGTAAAAAAAAAAACAATCCACTGGAATTTGTTTCCAAGTTTGAAGACGTTTCTCTTCCATCCAGGAGGCTTTTTCAACTAAAATGTCAGAAATACTGTTGGGTTCAAAGCTTTATAGAGTGGACCAAAGCAAAGCCTTGTTATGACTTAGAAAACATGCAAACTGAACCTGACGAGCGTACGGAAGAAAAACCGTCCCTTTATTTTTAACACCAAATTTCAAACACTGATTTTTTTTTTTTTTTTTT